GTGTTGGGCATGAAGAAACATTCCATACTGCCTTCATGGATAGATAATCAGCTGATTCCCAGAAATGACCGACTAATGATTTGATTTTCATATTCACTTGATGTCAAAAGTCAAGTTCCTTAGGCAAATGATTCAAGACTTTTTGCTGTTGCTCCCACATTCACAATGTTTTTGGTACACACCCTTTTTGTGTGCCACAAGAAGCCAGAAACAATGCCACCGAAGACAGACAGATAGACAGACAGAGGCTAGGGCTGTTCCCAGATCAATATGAAATATCATTCGCCCCAATATGGCCTTGGGTCATTTAGAAAGCAATTCATCGAAGATGAAGCTCGGCATCGAATCGCAAACAAAGAAAATAAAAATAGAAATAAAAAATAAAAAAAAAAAACAGATTCCCGACTAAAACTACCGTCGGCTACTGCCAAAAAAGCTACCGGGAAGAGTGCGCGATAAACATTGAAGATTGCCCATTTTAGACCATTGTGTTTGATGGCCCCAAAGCAAAATTTACAACCGCAGCAAAAACGATACGAGTATCTGTAAAAAAATTGCAAATTCGGGTTGGGTTTTGGGGTTTTTCTTCTTCCAGTGGATGCATTTTTCGTACATCTTCTTCCCTGAAAATTTGCAGTTTTCTAATTGTTTTATTTGGTTTTTCCTTTGGAGCGAGGGGGATTTTCATCTCTCGGCCTCCTTCTGCGAGACGAGGCATCGTTAACAAATTTATTATAATGGAGAGAGAGAGAGAGAAATCCCCCAAAAAAAAGATACACCATTCCTCCCCAGAGTCTCTCTGGGGCTCTGCCTCTTCTCGTGTCTTCTTGGCCCATTGCATAAGTTTGCTAATTTTTTTTGTTTTTCCAACAGAGTCTGTTTTTTTTATATAATATCGTTAATACATATTATTTTGCAAGGCTTTTGTTCATGCTCCGGGTAGAGTCTTGTACTTTGAACTGCGAACTCCATTGGCCAGAGTTGGCAGAGTCTTGGCTGGGGCTTGCTTTTGGCCAATGGCCTGATCAATGGATGGACTTGGACATGTAGGCATCTGCCGAAATTGACAGACTGAATGCTGGGAGGGTGCCGGGGTACTCTCGTCTTGTGCAGTGACCCAAAGAAATGGTAATGCGAGTCTGGATCGTCTTCTTCTTGGTTCGGTTGGGTCAGAGGGAACCCATAGCCATACCGTATAGCCGTGGCCCGGCCTGGCCACTCAGTCATTGAGTCAGTGGGTGCAACACAAGCCACAGCCACAGCCAGACTTCGTGTGAAGATCTGTGAGAAGTATACAAATGGGTTTCAGGTTCGGTTCACTACAGTTTTTTTGTGTTTTTTTTGGACTGTGGGCACCAAAGGAGTTTACTCCTCATTTTGTTGCAGGTTTTCGTTCGCGACTGCGCGGCGGCGGCGGCGGCGGCGGCGGCTTCGATGGTATCGCCTTTGAAATCCACGACAGCGACAAAAGTCGCAGTGGAAGACGACGACGACGACGACGACGTTTGGCCTAATAGACATAGAGGAGTCCCCAGTCTCCCCCTGCTTGTTTTTTTTTGGGTATAGTCTCTTCCTGCAGTACCTTTGATGATGATGATGATGTTGTTGTTGTTGGGGAGGCGGCGGATGATGATGATGATGATGTTGAGGAGGAGGCCGTTCGTCTGGAGACTAGACTTTCACTATTAATTGTCGATTTTCATCAATTGTTGTTGTTCATTGTAGTTGCACTCGGATACGGCGGATGGGCTGATGCGGCAATGCTTAATGGCCAATGGGTAATGGGTAATGGGGTTGGTATTTAAAGTTGAGCAGAAAAAAAGCAGACTCTGAAAACTGTAGAAGGAGAAGAAAAACCCAATTTCTGTAACCGTCCTCGAATCGAAAATTTTCATATCGAAATTGGATCTATTACTCAACTCAGGGTTCCTGCCACAGAGAGTGAGAGACAATTTGATTGATTTATGCAATCTCAGACCTTTCCTCCGTCTATTGTCTAGCAGGTCTAGCCTATAGTTAATTGCTCATCCAGCAGAAGATCCGCTCCACTCCACTCCACTCCATTCTTCAGCGAGTCTGTTATATCATCGGCCAGAGGATGGAGGGGGACACATTTGCATTCAATCCAACATTTGACATAGTTTTGAGATGGCATTCTACAAAGCGATTGAGACGCCGACAATGTCTGAATATTTGTCACTGCCAAAGTGCCAAAGTGCCGACCTGCCTCTGCCATCTCTCATATAGCCATACCCAAAAATGGGGGAAACGGGCCCGGGGCACCCCACAACAGAACACCAATAGAACAACATTTATGATTAGTTTTTTTCCATATGGAAGTTGGCTTGAGGTTGCCAAATGCAGCGCTTAATCATCTATAAGGCAAGTTATGCCTTTTCGATTTGTCGCCGGTGGAAACTTGAAATTCTGGTAGAGTCGGAGAACGTTTTCGAGAGTGTGTGGAAGATGTTACAAGTAATTTACTGGCTCTTTTTTCGCTTGTGGGTCAAATCTAAGGGGGCTAGGTAATTTAAGAATTTGAAAAATGTAATTGCGATAACGAGTGATCATGAAAGATCTGGAGATAAGCTAAAAGTTTCGATAGAAGCAAGTTTTCAACCACTTTAGATATTTTTTGTTCTATATAATTTATTTTTAAATGATTAAATTTTTTGAATCAATTAACAAGCTATTTTATATGTAATTAAATTCTGATGTTTATCCCTTTATCGAGGATCGTTATCCTATTACCTAAGAAAAGTTTAAGTACTTTATTAATTAAATTTTTCACAGATTTTGTACATGCTGATTATTTTGAAAAACGTTCGACCAATTATTGTACTATATGTAATCTTTTTATGGCCAAATAATTGGTTTTCTTTGCAAAAGAAAATTGTTCAATTGGTTGAAAGATGATTAATGGTTTGACCAACATCATGTAGAGCTATAATATCTCATTTTGTTAAAGAGTTAAATGGGAAGTTGTTATATTTTAAGTGAAATTTGTTTATCTTGTCTCAAACTTGTGGAATCCATTGAAATACAGGCATTTAGTGGATTTATTGAGAGTTTTTTAGGGAGAGAAAAGCAGATTCCCAAAAATATCCTAAAATTTCAATAATTTTATATTGTTTTCTTTCCCATCAAAGAGGACAAATCTCTCAAGCATAAATTTGTGCAATATTTCAATACTCTGAAATGCACCTATCATGAATATTTATAAATTGTATATACACACATTTATCTATATTTTTTCATATTTTTTTTTATGACTGCCCTCCATGAACTGCGTCCACGTTTTTCTCGGTTTTTGTGTTGTTTGTTGCTGGTTTTTCGGTGTTTGTTGGGTCTACGACAACTGACACGACAGCCAAACAGCAACCAAAATCATTTATTAATTTGTCAAATTCAAGCCAAGAGACACACGTTAGGAAATCCACAATCCACAATCTGGTGGTGGGCCATGATTATTATTTTTCAGTTTTTTTTATTTTAGTTGTTTCTTGACGTCTTTTTGTCGGGCTATAACTAATTCTTGCAGATAAAAAGTGTCAAAAGAGTCAGACGGCCAAGAAGTCAACTAAAGTCGGGGGTAAAAAATCAGTGAAAAATAACTAAATACACAGCAAAAGTTGATTAGTGAGAAATATTGTAGGTATACAATATACTCGTATGTAGATATTCGCCATGTGTGAAAAATAGTTTTGTTGAAGTTTGGCTATAATTATGGATTGGCTTAATTAATGGGTTTGATGACAGTTTATTACTTGCTGGAGATATATGCGGACTTGCAGAGGAAAATTTGTATACAAAAAAATACAATTTATAGAAGAATAGTTATAGGATAGAATGTGTAATTTTTCGATTGAATACTAATACATTTTGCTCCCATACATATCTCCCTTTTCTATTATCGTTACAAGAGAATACTCTTCAATTATTCTTCAATTTTTCAATAATTTCGTTTCACAAAATTATGCAAATTATGAAAAATGATTTCACAAAGCCACAAAACGAACCGCGCTGCCACACAGATTCGATGAGGATTTTGCAATGCGAATAAGCCAAAATATTTATTATAATCAAAAAAGAAAAACAACAAAAAAAGCAGCGAACACCCGCAACGTGGCAGGGAACAACGCGATGCCCCGGCCGAGCCAATGGGGCAGCCAACCCAGAGCCAGGGAACGTGCAACAACGGACAACACAATTTATTACATTTTATGTGCCGCATTAACCGAGAGATGGAGATGTGATCCTCGTTTCGTTTAGGTTGCTTTTTACAGGGGGGTTGGGGTGAGTTTTTTTTGGCAACATCTTCGTTTCTTGGTTGCAACGTGAGCTTGCCTCATGCTAACCCCGCGCGACACAATGGGGAGGTGTCGTGGCAGGCATCGCTCCCCCTCCCCCTCTCCCTATACATCTATATATTTATATATGTGGACAGTCTGTGGAGTTTTGAGCATTTCTAATTAAGACATTCGATACGGAGGAGGCTTGCGTGTGGAACGCAAGACAATTGGGCAACGAACGGCAGCAGCAGAAACAGCGGCAACAGTGGCAACAGCAGCTTATGAATCTTCTCATATCTGAGACAGTAGTCATGGCAGATATATTTCTGTGGCATTTCACCAACCATTTAGCATTAAGCGCACCCCAGAGACACCCGCCGCAATGGCATTCACGCCTGCTTGACTTCGAAAGTATTCTAAATTGCTAAAGACCTTTTCCTTTTGTATCCTTGTTGCAGGTGCAGCAGCAGCAACAGCAACAGCAACAGCAGCAGCAGCAGCAGTAACCGCAGGAGGAGCCACATCAGCAGCCAGTCAGCCCCGCAAGTCGAAACTCCTCGTCGAGCGGAAAGTCGGGAAAACTGACAGCAACACTGACAGCGCAACAGAAACTACAGAAGCTCCGGCTACGACAGCAACATCTGCAACATCAACAGCAGGCGCAGCAACAACAACAACAGCAACAACAACAACAACAGGGGGAACAACAGCGAGTGCAACTGCAACAACAGCAGCAGCAATCCATACAACAAAAATCAGCCAAGTGAGGCTTAATAACCCAGCGACAACAAGCATGTTACTTTTGCAACCCAATGTAAGATCGTCATATATAAAATATAAGTATAAATATACTCCAGGGATATCATGGGAAAGAGTCATAACTATTCATTAATGGTAGGATCATCTGTAAGAGAAAACTAAACTTAAGGGGAAGCCCCTCTTTTAATATTTAAATTTATTTACACTCCCAGAAACTCCATAAATATTGCCAATTTCCAATCCCCATATCCCGCTGTGGTATCTATTTGAAAGAAAAGAAAACATCCTAAGCGTAAAGTGTGCAAAAATGGTATGCAAATTGCCCATGTCCATATGCATAACCAAAACCAAATCCAAAGATGAATGGAAACGCTAATTGCCAGCTGCGAAGAGTTAAGTGGAGTCAAGTTGTCTTTACTCATAACACACCCCAAAGGCAGCCCAAAGGCAGCCACAACACCAAGCGAACAATTAGATGTCTATTGTTAGGAGAAATATGTGTTTGGAAAACATTTTGGCCAGACCATAACCAATTGGGAAAACATTCTAAAGAGTTGTTCAGTGCTATCCTAAGGGTGGCTCAGGGCATAGAACCAATGGCAGTGGCTCAAGGAATTGCGCATGTCCTGAGGGAAAGTTAGACTCCACCAATCCATACGAGCATACCCATATCCATGGCCTATTCTGTTAGCTATCTGGCTGCGATTCATTCAGTTACTAATTTAGTCGGCTGTGGACTGTCTTTCGTTGCAGAGCTCCTTTAGTTCATTGTCGCCCTTTGATAATTTCTCCTCGCAATCCGCGACGACGACCACAACGTCGTCGGTAACCGCAGCAGCAGCTGGACACCATCATCTTCAGCAGCAGCAGCAGCAGCAGCAACATCATCATCTCCAACAGCAACATCTGCAACATCAGCAGCAGCAGCAACAGCATCATCATCAGCAGATCCTAAACTCCCAACAACACCTGCTAAAGACCGAGTCACTGCTCTCCCATGAGGAGGATCAGTTGATCAGCAACCTGAACGACGTGGCCGGATCGCACAGTGAGCTCTTCTCGGATCTCTTCTTCCCCTCGGACTCAAACAACTCGCTGCTCTCGCCGACGACCAGCGGCTATCCGGATAATCCATCTGGCGAGGATCTCACCAGCTCCATCGAGAACCTCACCAAGCTCACGTGTCTTCGGGACAAGCGGCTCTCCTCCATTCCCGAGCAGCAGCTCAGCTCCGAGCAGGAGCAGCAGCTCTGCCTGCTCAGCCTTCGCTCCAGCAGTGATCCAGCCATAGCCCTCCACGCCCAACAGCAGCAGCAGCAGCAACAGCCCCAGCAGCAGCAGCAGCAACAGGAGCAACAGCGGCAACCCGGTTCCGGCCAAATCCAGCTGATCTCGCCCATCGGTGGCCCTCTGTCCTGCGGCAGCAGCCTGCCCAGCTTCCAGGAGACCTACTCCCTAAAGTACACCAGTAGCAGCGGCAGTAGTCCCCAGCAGGCCTCCTCCTCTTCGACGGCGGCTGCCACGCCAACCGATCAGGTCCTGACCCTCAAAATGGACGAGGACTGCTTCCCCCTGACCAGTGCCGCCGAGGTTATGTCCGGGTGGAATGCCAGCCCGGCTCCAGCTCCCGCCCAGCTCCAGCAGCTCCACACGCTCCAGACACAGTCCCAGTCCCAGTCCCAGATGTCGCACTCACATCCGCATCCCAACAGCAGCAGCAGTGGCAGCAACAACAACAACAACGGCGGCAGCAGTGGCTACAACTACCACGGACACTTCAATGCCGTCAATGCCAGCGCCAATCTCTCGCCCAGCTCCTCGGCCAGCTCCCTGTACGAGTACAATGGTGTCTCCGCTTCCGATAATTTCTACGGACAGCAGCAACAGCAGCCAAACTATCATGTAAGTAAACCATATAACTAGACAGAAAGTAAGCCCTCAAGTCCATGATATGTTCGGTCCTAAATGTACCTAAACTCATCAGAAAGAAAGATTATTAGGGTTCTATGACAATCTTTCGAGATAGATGCATATTAATACCTATAGTATAAAAAGTATAGTAATGAAAACGAACCAATTCGATCCCATAAGACAAGTAGAACTCAATTTTCTTCGAGATTAAGTCCAAAGTGAACAAAGGCCACATTTTATTTTCGTATTCCCCCAAAATCTATGGATCTTCAATACAATTTCTAAGCATTTATGGCTCATATCATATCTTTTATCTTTAATCTTTAACCCTCAGAACTACAATTCCCATAATGGAGAACGCTACTCGTTGCCCACCTTTCCCACCATCTCGGAGCTGGCGGCGGCCACAGCTGCTGTGGAGGCGGCGGCAGCAGCCTCCATTTCTGCTTCAGTGGGGCCGACGCCGGTGCGTCGATCCTCGTTGCCTGTGCAGCGGACAGTCTCACCCGCCGGTACCTCCGCCCAGAGCCCCAAGCTGGCCAAGATCACGCTGGGTCAGCGGCATCACGCCCATGCCCATGCCCACGCCCATCCTCTGCAGTTGAGTTCGGCGCCCAATTCGTCGGCCAGTTCTCCGGCAAGTGCCGCAGGGGCAGATCTCCAGGCGGGACGACTGCTGCAAGCGGCCTCCCAGCTGTGCGCCGTCTGCGGGGACACTGCCGCCTGTCAGCACTATGGCGTGCGGACCTGCGAGGGCTGCAAGGGATTCTTCAAGCGGACGGTGCAGAAGGGCTCCAAGTACGTCTGCTTGGCGGACAAGATGTGCCCGGTGGACAAGCGGAGACGCAATCGATGTCAGTTCTGTCGCTTCCAGAAGTGTCTGGTCGTTGGCATGGTCAAGGAAGTGGTTCGCACGGACTCCCTCAAAGGACGTCGGGGTCGTCTGCCCTCAAAGCCGAAATCGCCACAGGAGTCGCCGCCATCCCCACCCATTTCCCTGATAACGGCTCTGGTGAGGAGCCATGTGGACACCACGCCCGATCCCTCGTGCCTGGACTACACCCACTACGAGGAGCCGTCGATGAGCGAGGCGGACAAGGTGCAGCAGTTCTATCATCTGCTGACCAGTTCGGTGGATGTGATCAAACAGTTTGCGGAGAAGATACCCGGCTACTTGGATCTCACGCCGGAGGATCAGGAGCTGCTCTTCCAGTCGGCCTCCCTGGAGCTGTTCGTCCTGCGTCTGTCCTATCGCGCCCGCAGCGACGACACCAAGATGATCTTCTGCAACGGCACCGTGCTCCACCGCAGTCAGTGCCAGCGATCTTTCGGCGAGTGGCTGAACGACATCATGGACTTTAGTCGGAGTCTTCACAGCCTGGAGATTGACATATCAGCTTTTGCCTGTCTCTGTGCCCTCACGCTGATCACAGGTAGGCATCCACTCATCCTCTCAATCCCAAAGAGAATCGTCCTTTACTGAAATATATCTTCCTTGATACCCCTTTAGAGCGGCATGGCCTGCGTGAGCCGAAGAAGGTGGAGCAGCTGCAGATGAAGATCATTGGTAGTCTGCGCGATCATGTCACCTACAATGCCGAGGCCCAGAAGAAGCAGCACTACTTCAGCCGGCTTCTGGGGAAACTTCCGGAGCTGCGATCCCTCAGCGTTCAGGGATTGCAGCGCATCTTCTATCTGAAGCTGGAGGATCTGGTGCCAGCGCCAGCCCTCATCGAGAACATGTTCGTCACCACATTGCCCTTCTAGGCAGTCCAAATCCACATCACAACATTGCTTCCTTCAACCTAGACCTAAGTTAGACCCACTAAGAACTAGGTAATCCATAACTAGCTTTCGTAGAAACCCCAATAAAAAAATCTAAGAAAAGAAAAGAAAAGAAAAAAAAAAAAGAAAACAAAAAACCCAGTGAGTGCAAGTATGCAGCAGACCCAGGCCATATCTATAGTTCGAGGATAGATGGTTAGACAACCATCATCCCCTTCGGATAATTACGGACATGAATATTTGAAAGAGTTTCGTACGGAGCGGAGTGCATTGCTGGCTCCTTCGTGACTTGTCAGCGCCCATAGGAAATTACAACTTGTTGACGTTAATTGTTCAAATTGTTTAATTTCAACTGTCAAAATCAATAGGCGTGCACGCACAAGACCCACGGACTTCAATGGCTTCAATGGCAAACACTTTCACAGCACAACCCTTCCGACTCAGCTCTGAGCTTGCTCAACATTCATTGTTAACCGACCGACAAATCGACAAACAGACACACGGACACACGGACTGCAGCGTACGCTCTTTTGCCTTTGTTTTTGCTACCTTCTAGTCAATTGTTTTAAGCGTTACAAAACCACAATTAGAGCTATGCGATTATTATTTGTAGGATATATAGATGAGCCCCTAGAAAGGTCCCTCCAGAATAAGTGAAAATAATACTAAATAATAGTTGAATGGCCACAAATTGGAGACATTCAATAACCAATAACCATGTTTTGCTTTCTTAATGTTTTCCTCTTTTAGGATAGAACATCCAGTTTGTGAAAATCAACTATCAGATCATATCATAGAAATGCCATGCTTGCCCTCTAGCTAAGATAATTCCCAACCATTACCCCAACCAAGTATTTCTGTAAAATCTATAATAAGTATAACCCAAATTTAGGCTTGCGGTTTAGATATATTAGCACTAGGTATACTTTGGTTCAAGTTATGTATCAACAATGCACTCAACCAGTGCACATTGAGAGTTTAAGTACCTTTTTGTGATGATTGTGTCTGACACAGAGAGTTGTTGCACACAAACACACACAAATCTAGCCGATAAGAATGGATATATCTGTTAATCTCTAGAATATAACATAACCTAAGTATTTCCGTAGCGTAGCCCAAAACCCATATGTGTATAGTGTGTACGTTCCAAACGAGAAACGATAAAAAAAAACATAAAAAAACCTTATTTAATCTTAGCCACTCCAACTGAGTTCTCAAAGAAAAGGCAAATGGATCGATCGATCCGTTTGCCACTCTCTCTATATGTGTGTTATTTCGATAGGAAACCCCCTCTATGTGATTTTGTGATAGATTGGCATTGAACTCAACTCTGAATATATAGTATGTCTATGTCTATAATACATATACAATACATGCATAAATTTATATATTTTTTATGTCTAACTTTTGTATGGTTTATTTTATACGTACAACTTTTCTTTGATAAAAACAAAAACAAAACAAAAAATTAAGATCGTTAGCTAGCAAAAAATATTTAATAGTATATTTCGAGGAAATTTCAAAGTACAGCCTTTAGCAACTTTCCAATTAATGTTTGTATTAAAGAAAAACATTTTCTATGTGTAAAATTCAAGACTTTTATAGAACTAAAATGTTAACTGAAAAAAGGAAAAAAGAAATTGTTTGAATATGAGCAACATACATATCTCTTCAAGCTTTCGACTGCACAGAACAGAACCGTTAAGTGTTATTATTATCTATATAATTTATACGAAACGAAACCGATTGGCATGCCTATATAAAATATACATTTTAGATAGATCATTAATAAATTATTACAGTACATGTAGCACAAGAGACAGATGTTCGATGATGTTCAGACAAGTAGTTTTTGTACCATCTTTAAGAAGAACTTAGGCCAAGATAAACTAAGAATAAAAACAATGATCTGTATGCGGCTAAGCTGAAGCTATAAACTTACATATACATATATATATTATATACATTTACATCACTGATCAAGTTGACAAATTTAGAAATTTAGAGCAATAATTCATAAGCAGACGGCACTTTGAATAAACTATAACTAAAGCTAAAACTACAAACTGAACTTGTAACGGTTAGGAACGGGAATAAAACAGGACAAAAACACAGGAACAAGTTGACAGGTGACCAATACAGTTTGAAAGCGATGTAAGTTAGGTTCGGGTTCGAAACCCTCAAAACGATGCCATTTTATAGCCGTTACAACAATGTATATCAATCATGCACCACAGACACACTTACATATAATAACATATATATGATATATAATAGTCATAAGGAACCTACTTTGTACCTACACAAAACATACAATACATGAAACCTTCATACATACTATATACTATATACAGATACATATATTTTGAATAGAAAGAAAAAACAACAACTTTTACCAGTTACTTCTGGCGCAAATGCGACATATATACATACTATATAGCCATAACCGGAACATACAAATACATATTTTTTGGGTTCGTTGTTTTTTTTGTAATTTTATATATACATACATATGTACATACGCATACATATAGTACTACTATATGTGAATGTCAAGTGTGGATTCATATTTTTGAGATAAAGTTACAAAAGAGAAAACCAAAAGAAAAAAAAAATGGCAACCAACCGTAAAACGTGAAATTTTTCGATGAACCGATTTTAAAAGAAAACTTTTTAAACATGCTATGAAAATGATATACATAATATATACACCTACACACTATATATTTTGAAATATATATACATATATATTTTACTATAAAAGAGTTCAGATTTAGACTAGGAGCAGCGCCTCAAGCTTTATATAAAAAACAAATTGGCACAAATTAAATTTAAAGCATTAGTTAGATGTTTTTCGAAAGATAATATTATACATAATGCGTCTATTGGTGCAGATCAGATCATATATCCACAAAACACACCCTCAGATAGAGATTCACCCACACCACACAACACACAACAGAGATAGTAACTTAAGCTATATTCAACCTATTTGTGCGCCTACTACTAGCAAAGACCGGTACCAGAAGAAATACCTAAAGATGCTATAAGTATACATATAGTGTAACAGTTATTTTATGCTATATAGATGAGTACAGAGAAGCGTTATGGTTATATAGCCCGTTGTGTAATTTTATTCTAATTTGTACGTTTCATTTAACTCTTAAATATCGGAAACAATATGCATATGAATGTTATGGTATAGATACATATATAGTACATAATATATATTTATATATAGGTATATATGTATGTATGTATGTATTTATGTATCGGCCAATTCAATTTACTCTTCAATTCAATACAAAGCAAAGCAAATCATTTCATTTCGAATTAAATTTATATTTAAATAAAGATGTAAGCCTAAACATAAAAACATGAAACATTTTTTCTATATCTGTCTTTTAAACAAATTAGTTATACAAACCAAAACGTATTTACATAAATGTATACAACAAAAATCGTATATTCTAATTGGTTTGAAATAAAAACTAAATCAATTTAATTTCTCCGAGTACGTGTTACAAACAGTTCTCGTGTTGTATCATCTGGGATTCAAATGCTCTTTTGTTTTATTCTAGGTGTGCGTAATATTACAATTATTTTTTATTATTATTAAAATTATTGCAGACAGTTCTCCTGAGTCTTTTAGGATTTTTGTGTTGTCTTTCGTTCTATATCTTTGGACATATCTTAACTTATGCCAGTTTTATTGGAGCTTGACATTCGAATTAGCAGTCTTATGTAGGGGTGGGATTCTTCAACTAACTTATAAAATATGTAAAGGTCTTTATACATAAACGTGCAGATAGCCATCAATAAACTCTCGGCAGATGGGACAGTGATCCCGCATGTCCATGTACGCTTGCACCTGCACTGAGCACTCTGCGCACAGGCATAGATGACGGCAGGGCAGGATCACAATGTTGGTTCGGCGCTCCATGCACACCACACAGCTCCCGCTACTTGGTCGGGCTCCATCGTTGGCCTTGCTAGAACCACTCCGACTTATTCGGTTTAGCTGGCGTTCTGTCCACAGATAAGCGCTCTGCGTTTTCTCTGAGATCTCTGTGCGGGCCCGCTGCAACTGGTAGTTGAGTAGCAAGTACACGTAGCGCCGGAACATGTAGAGAACCAGCAGCAGCGCGACGACAATCGAGATCCGGAACAAACTGTTAAACAAACTGTTAAACAAACTCAGGCAGCGAGCCAGAATTGAGTGCACCACAAAGGCCAGTATATAGTCCAATATGATGATAATTGCCCGCGGTAGCAGCAGAATCACCCAAAGTACAACTTTTCCCAGGTCATCGAGCAGGCCCAAAAAGAACAAGGCACTGGATAGGAGAAAATCTCGGGCTTTTAAAAGTCCACCACGTGTGCCGCCCTGGAAATAGCCCGCCAAATCCAGGAAGTTGTTGTACAGCAAGTTGTAATAGCGTTGGAGCTCGCAGCCAGCGTATATCATCAGATGCCAGGCCCGAGTACTGCCATCCACCAAACAGTAGCCGAGAAAGTAGCTGCCCCACAGAAAGTAGTACACGCCGGTTACGAACTTATTTATAACATAAGCTAGTGGCCGGAGCAGGGCTTCATCCAGGCAGTTGAGAATTTTGACCAGAAGGTATAGCATCATTTCATTTCATGAGAAACAAATTATACAACAAACTCAAAACAAAACGAAATCAAAACAATGACGCCGGTGCTAAATGATGATGTTCGGAGAGCGATTGTCAAACTATTGTGAGTAATCGATAATCTTAACGATAGTGTTCAAGGTGATGAAGGCGTGTGAGGTGGGATGCAAGACGTCACAAAATTATTTTTTTATAGTTTAAAGTTCTGTAAGTGAAGTGCTTGGTCAGGATAAATATTTAAATGAAGTGCTATATTCGGCTTTTTTAAGGGTAGTATTACAATTGTATTGTAAATGTCGTTTTATCCCTTATTTAAATATAAATACAAAAATCGATAGGAATATTATTTAACTCTGTGGATAGTTAGCGATATATAAGTCGATATAGATGTGGACGATAGTAGGGCGGGCATTCAAATCCATTACGATGGAGTCTCATTCCCTTAATTTTTTTGAGCACTCCCTTCCCACAGCCGTCCAAGGATCATGTACTCCTTGGAGATGTGGTGGCGCACAAATTTGCAGCTAAAACAGTATTTTTAAGTTCTTATTCATTTTTCAAAAGGATGTCTGAATGTGAAATGTTTCGGCTATAAAATTTGAATGAAAATTAATGCTGTAAATACTAAAGCACTTAGGAAAGGTTAATATTCTACTCTAATTCACTGGGACTGCAAACAATAATCTAGAAACTAAACAAAAAAGGAACATAGTAGTATTCCATGAGTATACAATCACACGTACATCAGTACATGCATCAGATTGTCAAAATTGCTCAATCATTTCCCATAGCCGAGTAGTCAAACAATTTTCCAACGAATCACAAAACATACAATTTACAAAACCGGTGAAATCTGTGCTGAAAAAAAAAAAGTAAAAACAACAGAGAAATTTACACAAAAATTTAGCTTTATCCCTTTTTAACATCTCGAACATCGTGTGAAACGCGAGACAGTGCTGTGAGTGAACGAAAGAATACGAAAGGAAATTCAAAATGTTCGCAAATTTGTTGCGGGGTTGCCGCCAGCGTATGGGCTGGCGCCCGATGGCACAGCGTTATTTCTGCTTAAATCTGGTCTACAAGGTGAGTGGCTCCACAAGCAATATTCCCAGTTCCCACTCACGTCCTCCTTCTGCGCAGGATGATTACGTTGAGAGGTTGCGGAAGAGCTTCAACGCGGACGAGCGCGGCAGCAAATTGCTGTTGCCAACGTACAAGAAGGCCATGCTCTATCCGGACGATCTGGCCATTAGAGATAATGTGGGCGAGTTCACCTACTTCCAGCTGTTTATGACGGCCAAGCGACTATCCATACAGATCTCCAATATATGCGGTAGATATTGAACATTGAACCCCTGGCACCTAAAGAGTGGGTCACTCACACCTCAAAGTTTGTTTTTTCAGGCAGCGGCGCTTCGTTGCCTGTCGGATTTTTCTGTGCAAACGATGCCATGTGGATTGTGATGCTGTGGAGCTGCTGGATGTCCGGCCAGGTAGCAGTGCCCCTGCGTACGAGCCCAAGCCTGGAGCTGTTGCGTCTCCAGGCAATCGACTGTAAGGCAAAGCTGTTCCTTGGCACTCCCGAAAACGCGAGCATTGTCGACGAACTGGCCCAGACCCTGAAGGCGGCCACCATTGTACTGGACCATGACTTTGTGCCTCCAGTGAAGGAAATCTCCTCCACATCGATGTACGCCCAGCAGCTGGTGATCAGCCGAGATTCGGGCGTTCTGATGCCAGAGGCCATGCTGCCCAATGACTTCTACGAGAACAGCATAGCCATGCTGCTGTACCCGTCCACGTCCACGTCCACGTCTACGTCCAACGAGAGCCACAGCCCCAAGCCGGTGCTGCTCACCCACCGCAATGTCGACGCCCAGATCCGCTGCCTGATCAACACCTGGCACCTGGGGCCCAGCGACACCTTGCTGCCGGTCCTGCCGATGGTGCACATGCACATCGCCATTGGGGCAGTGCTAGATGTTGGCGGCAATGTCGTACTCGAGCCGGGCTGCAACGCCAGCAGCATCTGGAATTCGCTGCTGGGCGTCAACCTGTCGAGCAAGAAGCGCTGCACCTGCTTCCTGGCCAAGCCCATCGTGTACAAGCAACTGATTGCCGAATACCAAAAGATGTTCCTCAAAGACGAACACATGGTCGAGTACATTAAGAAGCACTGCAGCGAGAAGATGCGTTTAATGGCCACTGGCTTTGCTCTGTTGCCGGATTCGGTGTTCAATTACTGGCGCGATATCACCGGCCATCACATCTTGGAGTACTACGGCACGCTGGAGACGGGCTTCGTCCTGGGCCATACCATCGAGGAGGGTCCGAAGGAGCTGCCCAAATTGGTTCCCGAAAAAGGTGTCCCGAAGCCAACTGCCAGATTCGTTTCATCCAACTACAAGCCGCGCACGCTGGGGTCTCCTCTCCAGGGGGTCACTGCCCGACTGATGGGTCCAACGGGAGAAGAGATCTTCAAGTGCCAGAACCATGTCGCTGGCCCTGTGAAAACAGGGCCTTTGAGTGAGGCCTCCAGTATTCCAGTGCGTAATTTTGATCCCGCCAAAGCTGCTGTTCAAGGAGGACTGGAGATTTCCTGCAGGCGTCTTTCTGTGGAGGAGCTCCCGGCCGGAATGGAAGTAGAGGAGATCTTCATTCCCACCGGCGACATATGCGCCTATTACAACGACAACTTTTACTTCATTAGCAAGGCGTGCGATGTGATAACCGTCGGCGGTATCCAGGTCAACGCCTCGGAAGTGAAGAAGTTGCTCCTCTCGCATCCAAAAATCAACGACGTGGCCATACTGGCCATCCCAGATTTGGTGTGGGGCAATCGACTCTGTGTCGTTTGCATTGTCTCGCCCGACGTCCAGATTGAGCTGGAGACCATCGAGACATATTGCCAGGAACACTTGCCGCCCTTCAAGTGTCCCCATGTCGTAAAGCTGCTCCACGTTAACTAGTTTCGATTCCCAGTGTAGATGTGTATATGGGACACGGCACGGACCAAAAGTTGTGGGAAACAATAATTTTGAAAACATGATATAAAAATTCAAGACTACTCGAAACAATAATAACAGGAACTTCCATGCAATGATTTTATGTTTAAACTTTGATCTGATTGTGAGATTGTCTTTAAGTCAAGTCATTTCAAACTTCTGTTGGAACACATTCCTCCCAATGCCAAGGACGGGAGGAGGCAATTTATAGGTTCTTAGAAAGAGGCCTCTGCAACATCCTTTTGAAATCAGTCTTTTGCATGGCTGGAATTGAATTCCTTGGATCCTTGGAAATCCTTTTACAAAGTACATTTCACAATTATCTATTTTTATACAATCGCATACGTTTGTGTGATATTGGTGGTCCACACAATCCACATAAGTCTAGCCAGGCTAGATGAATAACCAACGGCCCTTTGGGTTGCCCAACATATCCCTTTTGGTTTTCTATATGGAGTACAGCCTTATAGGCATGTATGTTATGTAATCTTATGATTTATGTATTTTGTTTTTGTTAAATACTTAGAGCTAACTTGTTTCCAGGCTGCCATTTGCGATACCTAATTTGTTCAGAAATGTGATTAGTTCGCTGTTTTTCCTCATTACAGCCATCACCTCCTGCTGATGCTGCTGCATCTCTCGTAGCGTGTTCCGCTCCTTCATCTTGAGCAGCTGTATATTGTTGTGCATGGTATTTGTGTCCCCATCCAGATTCTGTTCCGTCTTGATGTGATACAGCTCATCGCGTATGCCATTTAGCTTCCGCTCGCAATCCCTTACATCCTTCTCGAGGATCTGTGTCTTCAGGTACACCGTCTGCGCCAGCTTATACCAATCTGCCAGGCACTCGGCTATCTGGGCCACCGCTGGATTCACATTATCCAAAAGCAACGCCTTCAGCCGCTTGCCATTATGATCTACTTTGATCTTCTCCAGTGCATGGAACTGCTCGTCGTTGTACGTGAGCGTACGCGTGGCACGATCACGGAGTAAATGCTGCCAGGAGTCGCGCAGCCGCTCCACAAGATATTTAGCCTGGGCGCTGGCCCTCGTCCGGCAGGGACACTTCTTGCCATGCATCGACGAGGTCCATTGATCGCTATTTTTAGAGAAATATCCCAAGATATACTCTTAATCTGCCAGATAATTTATATCTCCAACTCACTTGAGCTCGTCGTCTTGGACAAAATGCTTATGCATTTGTGAGATGACATCAGCGGCTCCATCAAAATCGTTCTTTACATTTTTCAACGTCTTCAGCAGGATTTTCAGCTCCTGATCTCCCTTTGTCTGCGTGAAGGATGTAATATTTTAATAAATGGATTCACAAACAGACAAAAACCAATCACTTCACCTTGGCCGTGCTCTGGACCACATCGGCATAATCAATCACAGTGGATAGGAGGTTGTCAAAGCTCTCGGTTTTTCTGCATTTAGATAAAAAGAATTGTTAGTAGAGTACGCAATGATCAGAAGATCAATGTTCCCAGTACTCACTTCCGTAGCAGGGTAATTGTGGTGATGAGCATCTCTACAAAATGCTCCACACCCTTCTTGATGAGTATATCCATTGAGGTGAAGATGTCCACCCGTCGCTTGCACTCATGGCCCACGCTACAGGCTGCCTTGGCCAGGCTGGCATCATTCTCCACGGATACATTTGGGGGGAACACTGGGAACTTGGGCAAATCCAATTGCTGTGGCAGCTGGACATTGTTATCATCGTTGCTGTAGAGGAATATGGGCTGCTCTGTGGTTGTGGTGGGAAATGCTTTAGCTGGAACAGAATTATTTTATTGCAGATGGAACGCGACTCCCAGAAACGTTTTGTGCTTACCAATCGTGCGGGGGGTGACCTTCTTCTCCAAATGCTCGTTATTGAACAGCAGGATCTGCTTCTCCAGGGGCACCTCTGTTTGCAGGAAGATGCGTTCCCGGAAGTTGTCAATCTGCTCTTCAGGCTCCAGGAATACCTCCACGGAACTCGTTCGGTTCGTATAGAAAACATGAATAACCCGCTTCCGCAGGATGAGTGTAACCTCTTGAAAGAATCTGTCAAAGGACCAAGTCTTTTCGCGATTCTCCTCCAGCAGGCCAGCCAGAAGGGGCGTCACCAGGGTTTTGAGACCCTGCGACAGGTGGGCATGCGGCGGCAGGGTTGTGGACCACTCAATGGGTCCGTTCTCCGAGAGCTGTGTGCCAGAAATGACACCCGAGGCTTTCTTGGTGGTGATTTGATGCATTGTCTCGCGATTCTTACGACCGCCAAAGGGACGGAAGGGCAGATTTCCAGTGGCCACATGGTAGAGGGTCACACCAATCGACCACAGATCCACGTTGGCGGTGAACGAGCGCTGGATGGACTTGCGCAGAACAGCACGCTCGTAGAGATCGGGATGTAGGTACTCCTCGGTGCCGTAAAGCGAGGCAAAGGGCTGATTATCCTCCAGTTCGCGGGCAGCACCAAAGTCCGTCAGTTTGTAGATGGTTTGGCCATCTTCCGAAATGAATTTCATAATGTTGCCGGGCTTGAGATCGCGATGAACCAATTTGTTGTCACGCAGATGTTTCATGCCCGCACAGAGATGCTCCAGGACCAGCAAAAACTCGTGCTCGGGCAGGCCGTAGCAGTTCTCCGGGTCGTCCAGAATGTTGAACAGACTGCCGCCGGTGCACAGCTCCATGACGATCACCTTGCCACGTCCCTCCTGATCCTCTTCGATGGCCAGCAGCTTGACAATGTTCTCGTGGTTCACCTTCTTGAGGGCCTCGAATTCTCGCATCTGGACATCCGCCGGCCGCATATGGCTGTACGGATTGAAGGTCTTCACGGCCACCGACTCGCCCGTAATTTTGTTCACTCCCTGCGTGAGAGGGCGGAAAAGAGGGTCAACAAAAGGAAAGTCATTGGAAGCGACAGTGACAGTTTTTTACCTGGAAAACGGAGCCGGTGGCGCCTTTGCCCAGCACGCTGGTGGTGCACCACACATAGCTGACCGAGCCACGCAGAAACGACATGTTTGCAGCTTGTTGTTTTTATATATTTTCTTTGTTTTTCTGCATCGGAATTTTCTGTTATAGGGATGTTAAATTTTTGATATATCAATATATCGATATATAGGCTTGATTGGTATCGGTACTTTTTTGCGAAGAACAAAACTTATAGGCGTTTTGTTTGGAAAATTAAAGTTTATAGCCGTATATTCTATACGCTATCCACCTACTGGCCTATGGATTGATTCAATTGCCGACTCTTTTGGCCTATGTTATTCCCATCAACATTTTGTTGGCAGCAGGCTGCAGAGTTTTTCGTTAAAAAGGTATGCACATCGAAGCAAACTATCGATAGTCATCTATCAAAAAGCAAATCGATAGTTCCTTAATTAAAATATTGCACACCGCTGATTTTTTTGTTGTTTTACGTGCGCGTTAAAATTTTGGCAGCTTATTTATTATTATTTTTAGGGGTACGGAAAATTAGGAAAAATAATTGAATGCTTTTAAGTGATATTAAAAGAAGGTCAATAAACGCGGAACGGAAGATAGACGGAAGATACTTAGGTAATACCGGAATTTCGATTGGGGCCGTGAAAATCGTATGTGCGAAAACAGTTAAGAAAAATCGGAAAATAAAGAAAAGCCAGCTTATAAAATGCACATACGACTGCATTTAGTGCGCTTCATGTACATAAATTTAATACTAAGGTAAGAAAGCGGTAGACCAAAGAAAATAAAAGATCGTTCCTCTAATTCGAGTTCCTGTTTCCGATTGCAGCTGCTGTTTCTGGCTATACGACAATGTGGCTGCAGCAGATGCGGACACAAAGAGCGGTGGTGGTGGTGGTGGGGTAGCAGATGCAGATGCAGCCACAGCTGCGGCAGCGGCAGCGGAACAAGCCAGCGCCCAGCACCGACATCAGCCCGAGGCGCCACCAAAGCCAGCCACAGTGACGCCGGAGCCCCCACCCGACAGAACACTGAAAAAGGTGGCTGCCACAACCGCCGATACACATCCAGCGGCGGCAGATAGGGAGCCCCTAGTGGAGTCTGATTATGGCAATCGGCCAAGAACTAGTGAAAACCCGAAAAAAGCAAAGGGGTTGGCGGCGGCGACCACCACCTCTGGCAGAGACACGTCAGTGCATGGTGGCAAAGTCTTGGAGGCGGCATCAGCGCCGCCGCATAGTGTAAATAGCCATAGTGAATATGTTAGTGCGGTTCCCGCTAGTGAATTGAATTTAGCTGCTAATGAAAGGCACGAGCTACCTAGTGAAGCGGCAGCCCAAGTGCCAAATAATCAATTAAATAATAATAATTATAATAATATTAATGCTGGAAATCCGCATAGTGTTAGTGAATCTGAACAGTTAGAGCCACCAAAGGAAAAGCAGCAGCAGCAACAGCGGCAGAAGCAGACACAGAAACAGCAGGGGAGAGAGAGGTAAGTGCCTATTGATTTGTGCATATTTAAGTGCAATCGACATTCGGTGTGCATATGTGTGTGTGCGTTTGCAATTGATAAGTTCTGACCCACTGCCGTGTGCTCGCTCTGTGTGGGAAGGTATTCCACCACCTCCACCCCCTGTGGCGTAATCATGCTAGTTATCAATTTAAAAGTAATTTCCCAATTGACGTGACATATTTGCTTGAACTTGAACGTGAGAAATGCCTAAAGAGAGCCCGTGACGCGTCAGAGAGTGAGAGTTTGCGAGTGAGCGAAGCGGAAGGCTAGCAAAAGGATAGGCTGAAAAGCAACAGAGTGACAGAGAGAGAGTGAGTTGCTTGAACTTGAACGGATGGAAGTGCAAGGAGGAGAACACAAAGAGAGAGAGAGAAAGACAGACAAGTACTGTTTAAACGATGCAGCTGATGTTTGCCACCAAAGTGTAACAAGCGAAATTTAAGAATTTTCAAGATTGTGTAATTGATATCTGATTTGCCTGATGCTGCAAGTTTGATGCAATCACAATTAAACCAAAAATAGCACCTAAAAATAAATACATAGAACATTCCAGAATCGGAATCGTACTTAATTTTGAGACACCCCCTGACACGTGTACTGCCGAGCAGCTGCTGCCCTGTTTAGCCAGTACTCAAGAGAACAAGCAAACAAGATTAACTGCATTTCTCAGCTATCTTCCTGTTATCTCTCTCACTCTCCCGTGACGAAGCCAGCCCCCCACGCCGCATGAACGACTGGCGATTAAATCGCCATTCATTTCCGATGTAAGCGGGCTCAGCGTGTGTGCTACAAAACATACCATTGGCCTTCATCGACGAGTACTAGTAAGTACTACTATGCCAGCGCTTATCAGTTCTGAAAGCTATTTCGTTGCCATAGGGGCCGCCGGCGCTTATCGGCCTTTTTTGTTATTGTTGTCACGTCTCGGAGCTACGCGCACGATCGTGCCCACATCCGAGTTCGTTCACATGCTGCAACTCGTCAAAAGTGGAAGATCAATTGGTTTGTGCCTTTCACTCACTCGCAAGGTCAATATTGGCACTGTTTTTGCCTTTGTTTTCTAAAAATATACACTGTCCAATATTATAATTATCGATACCCACGATTGTTGTTGCTCAGCGCTCATCGAGTTTCATTTTCGTTTCGAAAACACAGACACGAGTATTTGTTCACTCAGACCAGGCCAGGCCAGGCCTTTCGCCTTTCACAAAGTTCTATTCGTACGAGTATTTACAAATTTGCACGCGACGCACTCCAACCTCACGGGAAAATGCTCGGGAAACTGTTGCTAATTGCGATCTGTTTTTGTTGTTAACCGCACAGCGTGGTATTACCCTGTAGATTATAGGGTATATTTTCATATAGTATAACATCCGCATGCGTGTTTTGTTGTAAACATTTTCATTGATATAGTTCCCCCCAGCATGCCTGCCTGCCTAAGCTCTTGTTATTGATTAGTTTCAGTGGATTGTTTGTTATGATTGTATGGTTTATTTATGGACTGGCTGACAGGTGCCAGGCGCCATCTAAGTGAGTTCTCGAATTTCTAGTGGGTATAGTACAGCATTTTAGGCCTGATCTTGACATTGAAAGGTGTTAAATGATCGCTGAAAAGTGTTAAGAGACAGCACCCCTTCCACATGCTCTAAATGTATACTTTTAAGCTCAGAATCCGCAATGCGATATGTCCTCTAGTCTAGTCTACTGGAAACCCTCAGCTATCTTATCTCTAGGTGAGGTTCTTGTTTCCCGTAATGAGAACAGTTTTTGCTTAATTTTTCTGTCTCATCTTTTGCTTTGTAAACATGATCTTGACATTGGAAACGGGGGTGGATTGACTGTGTTTTTGGAGCCAGAAATTACTCTACACCCCGAACGAGTACGAGCATGCATGATATTTTATGGGTAGCCCTAAGCAAATGAGGATTTAGCATTTAAAAGCCGACGTGTGGTAAAATATCCTAAATAATAATTCATGTGTGTCGTAACCGCGGGGCATACATATACATATATGTATGTATGTATGACTTATATACCCTGTCTCTGGACATGATCTGACTGCTGCTGCAACGGCATCCAATAGCAATTCCATTCCATTGCATTCGCAGCTTAGTAGCTGCTGCGATGGCGGTGGTGGGACACCCACGCGATGTCTTGTCACAATGCCTTTTGCCGGTAATTTGCTTTACAGTTTTTCAATTTATTTTCCCCCTTCCTTCGATCGCTTTTTTCTCTCTTTCTCTCTCTCCCTGTCTCTGGCTCTGCGTGGCTCCTCTCTGGGCTCCCTCTCTTTGTGTGGAACGGCAAATGCGCGTACTTTCTAAATGCCTCCTCCTCCGGTCCGGTCCGTCCGTCCGTCCGTCCGTCATTCAGTCAGTTAGCCGGCAGACTGTCTGCCTGGGCCTATCTATTGGTGGCCGGCCATTTCATTCATCCCAAAAACCGACCAACAAAAAAGAAGGCATTAATGAAAGCTAACTTCAACGCGCCGATGATGGCTATACACTTGCACCAAGGGGTATTATGGATAGGATACTTTCCGTCCCGAGAATCCGAAAACAAAATACAAAGTTGGAAGTTCAAGTGCTCCGTTCATGCAGGAAACGCTAATCTTGGTAGAGAAAAGTACCTTTTCGGTGATCTACAGAACCCCCGGAAAGGGTATCCATTAGAAATGAAATAAACCAAGTTTTAACGATTCAAAGGCGCTGTGGGTGCCCCCCCCCCCATCGAATGGCAACGCTAGAAAAAACGCTAAACGCCAACGCCAGCAATCGCTTGGGGTGGGGGAGATCCTTTAAAGGCTTTCGAGAGCATCGCTCGATATCGGTTTTCGGTTGAGTTCGATTCGGTTTTTGGTTTGGTTTCGATGTTTGCTTATCGCACGGGAGTAAAAGTGTTAAATGGCAGCGAATCAGAGTTTTTGGATTCGATTCGATGTCATGTTTGTGTCTCCCGTCTGTCTGGGCTCCCCCTCCGAAAATGGCTTTATCAGTATGAAATTTACTTTCATTTTTTTGCATTTTCCTTTTCCCCCGAAACGATTTTCCCAGCCAGAAAAAAAAGCAGCCCCTCTCTTGACAGACTAGACATAAATAAATTTTCTTAACGCAGTAGACAGAATCAAAATCCATTTCGCGCGAGAGAGGAGCCTTCCAGACATACACACATACCATAGAGATACCCCCATACCATATGTGTGTGTGTTGTGGGTCTTGGCAGGTGATTGGGGGACGCTAGCGAATCTTTCTTTTCGTACGGCTCACTCGTACTTTCACTTTCGATGTAAAGGACTCTCTAAAAAGATTTTACAGTTTAGGCTTTCAAATGCATCATGATCTTGTTTAGGTGTAAGTGTAATCAAACTTGGCAAAAAGCCATTATCATGTATGCCGATCCTCAATGGACATGCCCATAAAATGGCCACAGATCTCGCGGTGATCCAACCAATTGACGCTTATGCAAATCTCCTCCACAATCGCCAAGAAAAATGCTTGTTCGCCTGTCAATGATCGCTCAACGAGATCTGATGGAGTCACTCTCCAGTCTGCAGTCTCCAGTCCCC